TAAAATAAAATAAAATAAAATAAAATTAAAAGCCTAAAATGTGAATTTAAGACACCCAGCAAATGCCTGACCAAACCAGTCCGTTAAAGGACCTTCTTCCTGTGAAGGAAACACACTTCAAAGGGGGAAATTGGGGTAAAGGATGCAGTAAATTGGGTTTTAACTCCGGGTTTGCAGCTCTGGACTCTCGTGGGTGGAACTCAGTCTGGCTCAAACCACAGACACGGGTCAATTCTCATTTTTAATGCATATTAACTAAATCAAGTAAACTTATCTCCTTAAAAGGAAAGAAAAGAAACAAAATCCAAGGAAATCCCAACAAGCTGTCCTTCCTTTTTTACTGTGATCGCTGTCAGAAGAAGCCACTGTCCTGGGACAACCTTCACTTCTGTTTTGGAATATATCGAAACTGACACATTTCTGCATGTTCTGGTAACACACATCAAGGATAGAAAGGGTCAAAATGGAACTGAGCTCCCCGGGAGCAGAACCAGAGCCCCTCTGCGGTCTCACCATCCTGGAGCACCCCACGAGCCACGACTGTCCTCACCCTGCACCCTAAAACTGATAAGATGGAGCTGCCACCCTAAAAACCAGACAGAATTCCCAAAGCACTGGGAACTAATGGATAAAAGCATCTGAAACTGGACTTGTAGCAAAAAAACTCCACTCATGCTACTTCTGAGTGCCACCGCAGCTTCTCGTTGATCCCAGACTGCTTAGGACTTTAATAAATTAAACCCACCATAGTGATATCCACCTGGAAAATGATCCACGCAGGATGGATGAGAGCAGGATTTCGTATTGTCACAGCAGGAAAGGTGGTTGAACAAACAAGCAAAGGATTTGCACACCAGATGCCTGTCCCAAAGAAAGGTACAACACGCCTGACGACAACGCCTGCCTCGCTCATTCAGAACTCATCAAATCCCAGACTGGTTTGAGTTGGGAGGGACCTTAAAGCTCATCCAGTCCCACCCCCCCTGCCAGCAGCAGGGACACCTTCCACTAGACCAGGTTGCTCAAAGCCTCATCCAACCTGGCCTTCAGCACTTCCAGGGAGGAGCAGCCACAGCTTCTCTGGCCAACCTGGGCCAGTGTCTCACCACCCTCACACCAAACAATTTCTTCCTCACATCTCATCTCCATCTCCCCTCTGCCACTTTCAAGCCATCACCCCTTGTTCTCTCACTCCCTGCCCTTGGCCAAAGTCCCTCCCCACCTTCCTGGAGCCCCTTCAGGTACTGGGAGGCCACTAGAAGGTCTCCCCGGAGCCTTCTCTTCTCCAGGCTAAACTCCTGCCTCAATTACTCATACCCTCATTCCCGCTCATTTAAATCCATGTTGTGTGTTACACTCTTCTGGATAAAGATATGCACCTTTTGGATTAAGCTCAGAAATATTCAGATTCACCTTTTACCGTAACCCAAAGGAACTCAATAAACCTAAAAATCTGATGTATCTGCACAGCTCATCAACACAGTGAAATCTGCTTGGCTGACGAGCAGAGGAGTGATGTCCTCTGGGATTTGGTCAGAAAGTTAATAGATTTATTTGGGATTTACTCTGGATTGGGCGCAAACACTCCACTAAACAACAGATTCCAACAAATAACCTGTATTATATACTCGTAACAATTGGACACAGAGGTTTTATTTCTGTATGTGAATAGAATTTAGTACATTGACCAGATTTTTGAAGGCCTGTCTCCACTGGAAGAAGAAATCTGGCTGCTTCAAGATCACACATTCACTCGTTCAGTCTGTAAAGTTTGTGCCAGACAAAGGGTCCATGCAAAGTGCTGCAGAATCCAGGGGATTATGGTAATGTATAATACAGTGTTATGTTTTTTTTAATGTAGTTTTCCTACAAATAATTTCACCTGAAGCGGATGAGAGAACTTCCCAAATTCAAAAGTGAAACAACCAAGAAAAAATGTATAATGATTCATGGAAATTTTACAGACTCTTAAATCATGTCTTGCACACAGAGCCAGATTCCTTCCCAGTCACGAGTACACAAGGTAAATAAACTTTGCAATTATCAACAATTATCTCTGAAGTGATTAATTTTCATAGACAGTATTTTTATGAAACTATACAAATCAGGTTAGCATATACCAGTGTGATAGTTATATTAGTTTTCTCTTTTAATGAAATAAAACCATTGTATAAACAATTATGTTCCAGTGCTTATAAATATTAACATAAATCTTGGTCAGCTTTCCAAAGAAAGCTATTTTTCAAAAGCCTTATTTGTCCCATAATATATTTAATGAGCCGTTGTATTGTCACTCAAAAGTGCATCAATTATACCTTGATAGAGGTAATTATACACAAAACAAATTATACACCCGTATGATTATCAAGAAGCTTGATAATATTCCCTGGCAGTAATCTCAGCACCGCGTGCTCCTGTACCTCCCATGTGGTATTGGGTAAATCCAATGTGACAAGCTCTGTTGGTGGAGCCACCAGCCAAGCTCTCCCTGTGGGCTGCCTCCTCCTCCTCGCCCAGACCAGGCTGAGACCTCCAGGATTTCACCAGAGCTTCTACCTGGAAAATCCAGATGCAGCAGCAAAGGGAAGCAAGGAGCAGCAGCCTGAGCATGAGGGAATTGCTGGGTGAGCAGAGGTCTAACACTGGGAATGCTTTAAAATGACAGGTTTTGACCCGCTGTGCATTACCAGCCCGAGCTTTGCCAGCTTTTGCCTTTTCATCTCACAATGCTTCCATCTCTGCACGGTACAGACTCCTGCTTCCTGCTCAGCTGATGTTTTATTCTCCCCAGACACCTCCATCCTATTCCCTCATGCAAAGAAAAACATTCTTCTCTATGAGTAGGACCAGAAACTAGAGAGGTTCAGAGGTGATGGCTCTGCCATCAGTCACACCCGCAGACCAAGGGTCTGTCTAGCCCAGTCTCCTGCCTCCAGAAGGACCCAGGAGAAGATGCCTTGATGTGGCAGTCATGAATTTCTCAGCCATCGCCCTCAACAAGCTGTCAAACACCTCTGAGGAATATCGTGGCTTCACACCTATCTTAAACTCGGCACAATACACTGCTTGTAAGGAAACCCATGTCGTCACCTTGCTGGTGCAGTTATTTCTTCCTCCATTGGCATCTGATGCCACAAATGAGGTTAGAGAAGGAGCCCAGCTGTGAGTGCAGGATGGAGGTGTCCCACACACCGCTGGGCAGTCACATCACCCACGCAGACAGAAGCTTAGAATTCAATTCCCAAGATTTACCTATGCACCAGAACTGGACCTTCTGGAGGAACATCCCATGGAGAGTTCTTCTAGAATAACTCTTCCTGGGTAATGATTAAAAATAGCTGAATTTAAAACCTAAGCAAACTCTAGTCTCTCTCAATCCCACGTCTGTCAGGCACTTGGGTTTAGTGTAAGGCTATGTAACACAGTTATTTGAGGTTTTAATCTCCAAAATAATGCCACTTTTAAGGTGAAAACCTAAATTAGGGAGCCCCTGGGAGAACCCTTGCTCACGCCTTCACCAAGGAGTCATGGCTATTGGTCTGAACTGATGACAAGGACATCTATGTCACCAGATGACCAGCCTTATCCACATTCACTTGCCCCCCCTGGTTCCTCCATAAGGCAGACCTGATGAATGCCTATTGCTTTGGAAAGTATTAGCACTTATCTCCCTTTTACAGAAAAAAAAAAGTTAAGATTATTTTAAATATTTCTTATGGTGAAATAACAACTTGATTAAAAGCATTTCGTAATCTGTTCCCAGCTTTAAAGCTCTATGTACAAAAAAAAAACCAAAACCAGTGCAATATGTTTTGCTCTTGAGAAAATTTTAAATAAACATTTTCTCAGCGAGCGGAGGCGAATAAACCCCTCCTCATCCAGACCATACACCCATGGTTAGGGTCTCTCCCGTGGAGCAGCACAAATACTATCCAGACCCAAAACCTAATGCCCATGTGGTTTTTCTTTCTGCAGAGGCTCTGGCATGAAGCGCAGGGACATGGAGCAGAGCCCGATGACAGCCAGGCTGATGGCCATGCAGATGCCCATGGACACCAGTGTCTGCAGGGAGGAAGGGAGCAGCGAGGTGGGCAGGAGCCGGTCCTGGCGCTCGGCCATGTCCAACATGATGGCTTCCATCTGGAAGTGCGTGCCGATGATCCCACAGACATGGAAAACTTGGTGGCTGTGCCCTGCAACAAAGCCAAAAGCACTCAGTGAGAAACTCCTTGGGCTTCATTAAAACACCACCATGAGGGCTCAGCAGACCTTCTGCAGAGCATCCATCGCCTCCAGCCATCACACTTATAAATATTGATTTGATTTATTCTGCTAATTCTGGAGAATGAATTTTAGGAGGAACAGGGAACTGGGGTTGTTGAGCCTGGAGAAAAGGAGGCTGAGGGGAGACCTTCTGGCTCTGCCCAAGTCCCTGAACTGGAGGAGGGTGGAGAGAGGTGGGGGGGGGTCTGTTCAACCAAGGCCCAAGGGACAGGGCAAGAGGAAATGGGCTCCAGTTGTGGCCAGGGCAGTTGGGATGGGGGGTGAGGAAGAATTTCTTTGCTGAAAGGGTTCTGAGGCATTGGAAGGGGTTGGCCAGGGCAGTGGTGGAGTCCCCATCCCTGGAGGCATTGAAGAGTCGTGTAGACACAGTGCTCAGGGACATGGGTTAGAGGTGGGATTGGCAGTGTTGGGTTTATGGTTGGACTCGATGATCTTAAAGGGCTTTTCCAACCACTACAATTCTGGGATTCTGTGAATTTCTGTGCCTTTTATTGTTGTGCCACCAGAGCACAGAGATCTTCCTTTCCAAAATGCAGCTGGCTGTGATGGAAGCGAAGGACTCGCTGCTGCAATCCTGGCACACGTGATGTGTTAAGGCGCCGCTGTGCTTGTGGGGAGCTTGTTGGGAGCACCCCAAGACGGCCAGAATTGCCATCCAGTCTCCTTGGTGGCTGCTCCTGCAGTGGCCTGACATGGCACTGTGAAGCACCACTGTGCCATGGGCGAGGTTTTGTGCATGAGAAATGAGTTATTCGCAGTCATGAAACATTTTGGAAGCAGCATGCTGCCAGAGCTCTTCCCACTGTCCTGCTGTCTCTTGTATGTAAAACTACCTTTCACATTTCCAGCTGAGAATCTGTTCTAACCTCTGAGAATCACTCATGCATTAATTAATGCACTTTCTTCCTGAAAATAAGGAGAAAACAATGCCAACTCACCCTTTCAGCACTTACCAATATAATCAAAGTGTCCTGGCGCGAGTCTCTCGGGCAGATGGCTGGCGAAGATGAAGCAAGTGAGGAAGGCAAAGACGGTGTGTTTGTAATGGACCAGGATGGCAGCGTCTGTGCAGCTCTCTACCATGCACAGGTAGAACTGCAGCAGCAGAGACGTGTCCACACGGGGGTACCAGACAGAGAAAAGAGGGGAAAAACACATTTCTAAAGGAGACATTGCCATTCCCTGAGCCCCCATCCTCCCTGGCTGCCCCACAGCACATGGTGCAGGACCCAGAGCTCAATACAAGAGCTGTCACCTCTATTTCACACAAACCCCAGCCCCACATCTCCTCTCCTTAGACCTCACTGCACCAAAATTCCCACCCTGCCCCAGTTTAGGAGTTGGAAAACTTGCATTGTTTAAAGGCAGTAACTTTCCAGCACAGGCAAAGTTTGAGCGCAGCGCTTTGAAGTGGAAAGAATCTGCCTATCAAGAGGTGCAGGAAAAAATAACCAAATCTCTTTTCCTGCCAGAGTGTGTTTGCCTTAAAAAAAAAAAGCAAAAAAAAAAAAAGCTGGCATATTTTCCCAAATATTTTCAGACTAAGGTGAAGCAGTTGCTATTTTCAACCCTGCTGCGCGCAAATGTCTTGGTGCTGTGAACATGGGCTGTGGGAGGCGTACCCTGTAGAAGAGAGGGATGCTGTCGAAGAGGTAGGGGTACACAAAGGCCAGCGTGCGGGAAGCCTTGCTGATCCTGGGCCTTTCTGCCTCCAGAAACCTGGAGGAAACCAGAAAAAGTGGTTAATGTTGCTCAGCACACAGGTTAGGCTAATGTAAGCACTGGATTCTGTTTGTCCATCGTTTGCTGGGGACTGTGTCAGTCTCTTCTCCCAAGTAACAAGTGATAGGACAAGAGGAAATGGGCTCCAGTTGTGGCCAGGGCAGTTGAGATGGGATGTGAGGAAGAATTTCTTTGCTGAAAGGGTTCTGAGGCATTGGAAGGGGTTGCCCAGGGCAGTGGTGGAGTCCCCATCCCTGGAGGGATTGAAGAGTCGTGTAGACACAGTGCTGAGGGACATGGGTTAGTCATAGGGGACTGGTCAGTGTTGGGTTCATGGTTGGACTCGATGAGCTTAAAGGGCTTTTCCAACCTTAATCATCCAACCTATGCCTGTGGATTGCAGTATACATCCTGCACAGACATTTCCCCATGGGTGGCTGCGAATTCAGCCACAGCAACACAACTTCTGTGTGCTCAGGGTATTAAAGCTGCGACCACCGTCACCTCCCGCGGCTGAACCTTCCCTGGCTGAACCCTGAGCTGGGGGAGGAAGGACTTAGGGGCCGGCCTCCCCTGTTCTATGCTCTGCCTCTCACAG